ATGGGGCGGGGTGGGGGTCACCCATCTATGTCCCAGCTGAAGAGATGGTGCTTCACAAGCATGTCCTGCACCCCTTCCTTCAGTGGCTTCTTCTCCTTCTCCTGCAGGATGACAGAGAGACCCGGGTCAGTGCACTGAACCCAGAAAAGGGGAGGTTACGTCTGCAGGCAGAGCCAAAGCATGCTGAGGTCTCCAGCAGCCAGACAGAGCAGCCTTCTGCACTTCCCACCTCCACGCAGCTGAAACAGGGAGAGGCCCTGCAGTTTGGAGAGCACTGGGGAAGCGAAGAGGCCTGACAGTTCCCTCTGCCCCAGTTGGGCAGGGGCAGGCAGCATGCCCTGCCAGTGAGCTCCCACGCACAGCCTGCCCTGGCAGCGAAGGGGCCCGTCCGCAGCCTCTGGTGCCGGCTCAAGCGGAGGCAGAGGATGGGCTTGAGCACAAAGCTGGGAGAGGACGCAGTAAGCAGAACCCACGGCTGAGGGAGAGAATGAGAGATGCCACCTACTCACCTCCCTCTTTATTGGCAGCTCCCAGTCCTGAGAGAGGCTGAAGGCAAATTTGCAGAGGACTCTGCAACAGAAGAGAACGATGGTAACACCCATGCGCACACACCCCCAGCCTGGGCCCAGAACCGCTGCCCCCAGGCACACAACTGCAGCAGCTCCTCAGCTTGCCCCGGCACGCTGCCAAGCTTACAAGGATGGAAATCCTTGTTTGTTGGTGTTGAAAGGGCAGCACAAGCCACTGTTCCCCACTCCTCTCTGGGCTTCACATCCTGCCAGGCCCAGGCTGGGAAGAGAAGCTTGAAGATGTGACTCAAGTGCAACCCCTACAGAGCCCGGCACAGCAGCGCAGGGAGGCACAGCCAGCCCCGGGCTCTCCTAGAGTGCAGACACCAGTGGCTGAGGACTGCACACAGCGAGGGGACTGGGGAGGAGTAGACCCCTGCCAGTAGCACGTCACAGTTTCTGCACCCCCCGGGGCAGGAGAAATCTCCTGACCCCCATGCACAAGTGCCGCATGGGGATGGCTCATGGAGCTCCCTCGCTGCACCCAGCTCTGATCAGGGGCTGCAGGTACAACCTCAACCCTGACCCTAGGATGGGGATGCAGAGCTCAGACCTGGCAACAAGCACATCAGTCCTTCAGGCTCAGGGGAAACTCTGCAAGGGGGTCTCCTCCAACTCCTGCGGCAGCAGGGGAGCTGAGGCCCTCCACAGGAAGCTCGCTGGGGAAAATATGGCATAAGCCTCTGCTCCTGCTCCACACAAACCCAGGCCCAGCCATGAACCCATTCCACTTGGTCCTTCGGCTGTGCTGAACTAGCACAGTCACCATGCTGCAAGAGAGCAGCCATGCGACCCTGCAGCATGGAGGTGGAGGGGACTCCCTTCCTCCCATTCACCAGCAGCAGCACAAGGAGAACAGAGCACCCCGAGGTGCTACAGATGGTCCCACTGGGGCCAGTGGCAACCAGATGGCACAGACAAAAGGCAGTTCCCACAGGACGGCAGCAGCAACAGGGCTGGAGTGGTGGTGGTGGCCGAGGGGTTTGCTCTGCGGCTCCCTGGGACTGGATGTGGCTTTGCAGAGTGCAGCAGAGCCAGAAGCACGCAGCGTGGATGTGTGCCCTGGGCTCCAAGAGATGTGCTTTGTAGGAGTTCAGGCACGAAAGCCACGTTCAGCCCCTGATATCGCTCCCTCGTTTAACCAGGAGTCAGCCGGTGACCAACTCCTTCCTGGCCAGTGACAGCCAGACTGTCTCCCCAGCACATTCCCTGTTCCCTGCTTGGACTCACGGTGGCTGGCAGAGGACCTGGAGAGTAGGGGGGTGGAAAAGGAAGTCTCTCCATCAGAGTAGGTGCAGGGCACAGTAGGAGGTTGTTGGCAGGCAGAAGCTACCTGCTTGTCATGACAGCTCCCCAGGAGCCAAGCTCTGCTCTTGGGTCAGGCTGGCACAGTGCACTGCATTAAACCGTCTAGGCAGTCACTGCTGTCTCAGCACGCAGAAGGAAATCTGCTCAGCGGGGATGTCCGGGCAGCCCATGCTGCTACTCACTGGAGAGGGCCCAAAGCCAGCCATAGCGAGGGCCACCTCCTGCAGAGGAGGAGGAAATCTATTCCAGACCTCGGCGAGGCCTGTGGAGACACTCACCTCAGCTCACATTTGATCTGCACCCAGCCAGGACTGCGCAGGAATGACCAGGGATGGAACCACTTCTCCACAGTCTGCAGACTTGAGCACAGCACCTCCAGCCACAAATGCAGCACCTGCTCGCTGCAGCAATGGGGCAGAGGCATGTTACTTTGCTGAAGCCAGGGAAAGAAGCCCCATCACTTTGGGATAGTCTATTTTCAGCCCAAGCCTTGATCCCAGCCCACAGTCCTATCCCCTGTGGGAACAGGACAACCCAGTAAACTTGTGTGAGCCGCTCCATGCAAGGAGAGCTACTTCTTCCAGCCAGGAGCCAGGCCCAGCGTGATGAACAAGACAGGAGCAGGTCCCACTCAGTAGCTGCAGTAAGAGGGAGAAAAAGACCCTCTGGCCTAAGGCAGATTGAAACAACTGCTGCCCTTGAGCCTGCTCTGCCCCTCCCAAGCTCCTTGCCCCTCACATCCAGGGGTATGAGGACTGGATGACTCACTTGAGTCCAACGCAGATGAGGGAACGAAGTTTCACGTCCATCTGTGCGTGTGCAGCATCGTGTGTCATGCTCACAGCCTGAACCGCCTGCCGGGTGGGAAGATGTGGTTACCGCCTTCTCAGCCTAGCCTTAGGCAGGGCTGGGCTGGCAGCCATCGCAGCAACGCAGCCAAATGCTCCCCTCCCCAAAGCTCCCCTCCCTTACCCAGTGCCACCTGCTACCATCAGAGGGGCCGAGCCTTCCCAATGGCTTCACTTTCTGCCTTTCCCCAGGCACCTGGTGTCTCTACTGCTTCCCATCAGGGAAGGCCTGGGGGACTCTTGAGCATCTCCCTAGAGAAGGGCATCATCCTCCCTCCAGCAGCCTCCACGGGAAACTTCCCCACATTAGGAGCTGGGCTCTGGTGGGGCTAGGAGCAGCACTCACCCGGTAAAGCAGCTCCTCTGGAGTGAGGACTTTGCCGTCTTCATCAAGCCTGCAAAGACCACAGCAGAGAGCTGGCTAGCTCCAGAGCCACCCTGGGCAATGAGCAGGCCTTTCTCCCTCCACACCCCAACAGTTCCCCTGCTACTGCTGAGCCCACAGGTAATCCTGCAGCCACAAGAGAGCAAGATACAGCCCCAGAAGCAAACACAGGAGCACAAGGAAGGGGGCAAGAGCCACTGCCAGCCCCATGTCAGCATGGGCACAGCAGCCTGTTGATGCCACACCGACAGGAGGGTGGGGCACACCACGACCGACCCTTCTCAAGGGGGAGAGCAACAGCAGTTCAGTGAACATGCAGGAGCAGGGCACAGACCTAGCCACTTCGTGTGAATAAAGTGGCCTTACCTGTACGTCTTGCAGAGCACAAGGCGAGAATACACAGAGTCAAAGTCCCGTTCCACTTCCCGTCTTGCAGCCTAACAGGGCAGAGGAACACTCAGTACACTCTGCCCTACAGCCCCCTGACCCCAGCCCTCTGGCAACAATGCCCCACGAAGGGAACTGAGACATCTCACCTCTTCAATGAACAGCCAGGGATGGCAGGGTCCCCCCAGCAGAGATGGCTTCTTCAATCCATGTTCAAATATGGACTTCAAGGCTGGACACAGCGTCCCTCGAACCAAATCTGTCACCCCTTCTGTGACTGAGTCATCTCCAGCGATGGAGTACTGAGGAACACAAAGAGCCACCTCTCAGCATACTGGAGAGGAGGCAAAGCATGGAGGTGGTCTGCTCCAGCTCTCTGCACACACCTCTTCCACTCCCAGGTGCCCCCCAGTCCCCCCTCCCTTAACCCCTTATGTTCTTGGTGGCTCTTGCATAAGGCACCATGTTCAGTGCTACTCCCCTGGGAATTACTGGGACACCAGGACCTTTGTGCCTGGGTGCTGCCCAGGAGGCCACATGGGTGACCCCAGCACCATCCTGGCAGCACTCAGCATGTAGGAGCTGCTGCAGTTCGGTGTGATGCTGAGCTAAGGTAAGGAGGGGGACTTGCACTGAGGGTCTCTGGGACTCTGTAAGCTGATAGAAGTCAGGGGAAATGGGGGCAGATGGGAACTCCCAGGTCAGCTGGCACACCGCTCCGAGGTGTCACCCTGACACACTGTTAGCACGAAGGATATTCCAGTATTAGGATGAGTGGGATCCTCTCTATTTCCACAGCTGGGAGGAGAACTGCTCAGCAGTACAGGGTGTGTTTACACACCAAGAGGTGATCTGCATCTAAGGAACAAGCCCCAAAAAGGGGCTGAGGAAGCAAGTGAGATGTCAATAGTGACATCTTTCTAGGGGCTTCTCTTGGGGTCTCAGGTCAGCCTTTGAGCCCTCCCTCACTCTCCAAATGCTGAGGAGAAGGAGAACAAGGCCTTCTCCACTTCCCCTGCAAATTGCCTAGGCCAACAGCTGATGACATTTGCCTCCCACACGTTACCCCAGCCTTGAGGCCATATTGAGGTATCTGCTCTAAACAGGTGGCATCTAACCCCTGCCAGTTGCGAGAGGAACTGAGACAGAGTCCCCTCTTTGGCACAGCTGCTTGGGGAGGATCCACTGTGGGTGACTACAAAGCATGAGCAGGATCCACAGCCTCAGAGGAGGAGGAGAGCACAGGCAGCAGGGAGCAGCAGAAACGCTGCCCACAGGATCCTGCTGCTACCTGCCTGCTGCTTTCCTGAAGCTCATGGCTAAGGCCTTGCAAGGCCAGGCATCACACTCAGCTACCCCCTGCAGCCCTCTGGGACCCTCATTCTCCACTTGGTCAGCATCAGGAACTTGAGAAAACAATCCCAGGAGATAAGCTCCCTGATCACATCACTAAGTGCTCAGTAGCCCTAGAGAGCAAACAGACTCAAGAAGGGAAATATATGGCGCTTTTCAACTATGTTTTTTCAGGTATGACAGGACTTTTTTTTATGTTGGATTTTTGTTGATGTTATTGTGGTTTGTTTTTTTAATTACCTCTTTGCTCCGCTCATCCAAGATCTCCACAAATTTTGCAGGAAACCAACCTATAAAGAATGGAGAAAGAAGCAAGTCTGACACTGAGAAACCTCTGACACAGACAAGGCCAGAGCCCAGGGGAAGCTGAGAATAACTCAGAATTCATAGAGTCCAACCCCAAAGAAGGAACCGAGAAGCCTCAAAAATCATAAGAATTAAGGCAACTGCAAGAGGAAGCCAATTACAGGACACTTCCCACAAGCAGCAGAGATGATGTACACCCAGCCACCCTGTGCCGGGACGACAGAGCCTAAACTTGCAGTTTGGAAGAAGTAACCACGTGGCTGCACCACTGCTCTCATACCCTGCTTTAACATTTCCCTTGTCCCTGGCGGATGCCCCAGGTGATCAGCAAAGCCTTTGCTGCAGATGTGCCAGAGCAGTAGCTGTGGATGAATGGATGCTCTGCATCTGGCCCCACTCTCCCCAGCGCACCCCATTCCACTCTCACCTCTCAGTCCATTCAGCTCACCCACCCAACAGTGCTCATCCTTCTGGGAAATGATCTGAAAAACAGGGAGTGGAAAATGCTGGTTGAAGAGAGTGCAGTGCCAGGAGGGCTACAGCTGCCCGGCTGCACGTGCACAACGAGGGCCTGCTTTCTTCTTAACTGTTTTGCCAACGTTCTCTTCTCATGTGGCCCAGGGCCTTCAAGGCTAAAAAGCTACTGCAAACACAACGCTACCCATTTTCCCAATTTCAGATAGGACGACCCACAGCTAAAATGCAAACAGATGCTTTTACAGTCTTACCACAGCTTAGTGTGCCCTGTTAAACCAGGACCCAGGTTGGACCAAATCAATCTTTTGCTCAGCTGTATGGCAGCCAGAAAAGGAACTTTGTAGTTGCAGTGAGAATGACCCACAAGGCAACTCACAGGAACATACTGCCTCATCCCCAGGCAGCTCCCAGAAACACCAACTGCTTCTCTTGGACTCCTAACTGGGTTTTGAGCCAATCTCCTCCTTTCTTTACCAGCAGAAGAGGCAGTGCAGCATCCCAAACAAGCTGGGTCTGCATGGTCTTGCCCTGGTCCCTGTCTCATAGGCTGACGCACCGTAATGATGTCATTCTTGCGGAAGCCCAGCTCATCGTCATCGTGGCGCTCAAAGTCCAGCAGTGCCTTGGCTCGCCGTCGTCGGTTGCGGGAACAGGCCACATAGTTCTCATGGTCCCGCTGGTGGCTCTCCATGCTGTAGTCTGGAGTCAGATCCTAGTATGCATGTGGATGAAGAGCAAAGAGGAACAAGAAGCAACAGATTACTCCCAGCTGATCTGCCAAAGCTTGCATGCCCCTGTTCCCAAACCTTTTCCTTCTCTTAGCAGGCAGAAAACCTCTCACCACAGCCCTCCTCCACCAGGGATGGGTTGAGCAACCCTCACCCTCCACCCATTACACCTGGTTGCTTTCTTCCTCGAGCCTACACATTCCAGGAGCATTTGAACAGCCCTGTCCTGTGGTGAACACTCAATACACTCAATACTCATGCCTGGAGCACACAGCAGTGCAGATCCAGCTGTTCCCACTCACAATGCTGCAGTTCTTGGGATCCACACACTGGAAGTGCCGTGCCACCTGGAGAATGGCCTCACGCAGGTCAGCCACCAGCTCCGTCTGCTTGATGTTCTTGGCTTTCAGTGCCTCCAGATCGTCATCCCCTGGGGAAGCCCACATAGCCAGAAGGAAGGTGAGGAAAGGAAAACAAGTATGAGGTATTCATTTTTTTGTTAACGTTAGAAATCATTGACTCTACAGAAATTAAAAAGCCTGACATTAGAAGTACCTACACTAAGGCAGGTACTTACTGCCAATCAATTCAATAATGTAAATAACCAACACCAATTTAAGTGTCTCAAATTATAAGGAGCTGGTATTTCAAACCACATATGGAACTACAAGATGTCATCTTTGATCTGTCTGGACAACTCAGTGTACCACGGTACTGCGTACTACTTTAGAGAAGTGTCTACGCAGTATATAGACAGATGAATGGTGGGACACAAATCTAGGGAACTTTCAAAAATTCTCTTCAACTGAAATTCTCTTGAAACTGAAACAGCTTTTGGTTGAACTACTTCTGATTTTTGCATACCTCAGAGGCTGGGAGAATATTCTTCACTGAGTCTTGAAAAAGATTTGAAAAACCAAGACAGCGCACTTTCCTGCGTCAGTCTGAGCCATGAGAGAAAAGCTGCCATCTGCTTAAGACCTTGACCTCCCTAAGAGCCAGATTTCAAAGGTTCTGGGTGTATAGAAATGGTCATAAGTAAAGTAAAAGTTACCAAAGCATCTTTCAACTGTCATTAATCAGCCCAGGAGATCTGACAGCCTAATTTGTGCAGAGAGATACCTAATGGAATGGATTCTTTACACCATTAATGTATCTGAACGCCTTAAAAATTGGGTACACGATGTTTGGGAACAATGAACCATTTGCTTCTTTTTCTAAAATAATGCTGTTTGTTTTAAATTCAGAGCGTATTTTCATATAAATCTCTCTTTGCTCTCTCTAATATACTGAAGATGTGGTAGCTTGATTAACGAAATCAACATTTAAAATGATGTATTTTTCACTGAACTCCACTTTTTATACAAACAGTCTTTATGCAAGACCCACCTAAATCACTGGCTAGCAAATTAGCACTCTGCTTATCTGCTAACAGCATTATAGAAACCAATATGAATAAAGTGTGTCCCGAGCTATACAGCTGCTGAGACAGCTAGGTACACATGAAGCTTCTGCTTATGAAAAAGTGATTAACACAATCTTTTAATCACAAGTGATCCTAATTAAAAGGACTAAAACTTTAAGAACATAAACAGCACAAAATTAGATCTAAAGTTATTGTTACAATTGTTTTCTGTTTGCTAAACTAAATTATTAGAGAATGAGACACACAGAGCTTAAGAGAAAACTGACCTTTGCTTCTGGACTAGAAAAATTGTAGGGCATACTTGCTCCCAGTCCAAGCAATGAAAATTAACAAAACCTGCTCCTCAGTGGCCGGGGGTAGGAAATAGAGCATGTAAAAAGTCTTACTACAGATTCAGAGACACAAAGATTGTAAATAGACAAGCGATCACGCAGACGGCGGGGATTCCCAGAAAATTCATGTTGCTAAAACAGAATGTGACTAAAGAAGAAACTACTCAACCACAGCCACACTAGCTCAGCGGGCTGCCCTCATTTACATAGATCACAGATTCTTTCTGTCATCATTCAGTCCCTTCTGGCCAAAATACCGTTCTCCTCCCTCTGTACGCTGATCAATCCCACCCAAACAGAAGCAGAAGATATGGGAAGCAAGCTCCACAGCCTCCCACCTTACAATATACATGATACAGAGGAAAGCAACTGGGGTTCCCACCAGATTCACCTCACTGCACCCAACACACCTGCACGTACATTTCCAAAACAGGAAACCAGTGCAGGATACGCCACAAGTGAGGAGGCTCTATTTTGAGCCTGCCAAGACTGACTAGCTGCACAGCTGTGCAGAGGAGAACTAGATCTCCTGCATTTCCTTGTTCCAGTGCCCTTCCAACAGGAAAAGGGGAACATGCACATCTTGTTCTCCGCCAATCTACCTTTTGATGTTTCTTCTTTCTATTCTTTCATAAGAAATCTGGTCCAACTCCTTGAATCTCAGCTAGAGAAAGCCCTGGCCAACCTGATCTAGCATGAGCAAGATTCTGGCTTTGAGGAGGAGAGGTTTGACTACCGACATTTAGAGGTCCCTTCCAAAAAGTGTTCCTGTGATTCTACAACTCCTGACCAAGTCACTACTACATCTCCATTCACTCTAAGAAAGAAGAATTAAGTTCTGGGTAAGTTCTTACTCCCACTCAGAAAAGGGCTATGAACCAGCTCTACAAAGGAACTATCAGAGGCAGCAGACTTTACAATTAAGGTTGTTTGACAGTTCCCAGTATAAGGTGAGTTTATCATGTCTAAGCTTTCCTTCTCACTTGGGCTGAAGTTTTCCATTCTGGTCATCTGTTGCAGGATGATAACTTCTCTATTTTAACCAATGTTTTAATTACTAAGAATATTAGGTAAAAAAACCATGACAGTCACTGTACAGAAGCCCCACTAAAACAAGGAAACACTATCAATCATCTCAGTTCTACCACTGATACATCTTGAAGCTTGAACTTAAAATTTATCTTTGTGTGTGCGTATAACTCGCCGTCACTTTCATAAAGCTACTCAAACTTGGTCAAAGAGACTTCCTGAGACACAAGAAAGATGCATTTGCCAGCTAAGTTCCCTGCTGGTTCAGTCTGTACTGGCTTTATGATAACGTTACATATAAGAGGTCTGAGTTTAGGTTGCACAAGTAACTTTCCTGCATTTCTTCACTTCTGCATGCTTGACTTTACAGCTTCATTGGTCTTCTACCATAACTTTTATATGTAATGCTGTATGTGCTTGTAGCAAGCCTGTGACAAATATATCAGCTTCCTGAAGAACATCAGAAAAGCTCTTCTCTGAAAAGACCAGTAAAACCCTGTTTTAGATTTATTCAGGCCATTTCAACCACAACAGGAACACTATTTGAACCCTGTAAATTCAGTATGTTGTCTTCCTCCGGAAAAACAATTTCTGTGGTGAGATGTGGCAATTTCAAGAAAGCTAACCAGTTGCAAGGAAAGTGATGACAGTGAGGCTTACAACAGAAAGGGCTATTATGGAGTCACAGAAGCAAGTTACTGTTAAACCCATGCAAAACCTATTCTGGCCCTGGGCTTTCTGGACAGACACTGACTTAGCTCGTAAGTGACGAAAATTAAGACTCAGAAGGGTTCAAAACATAGCACTCTCAGAGTAAGTGAGGGGAAACATCAGTGAGGTTTGCATTTAATGTTGATAAGTGACACACCGGACAATCCTGCCCCATCTCAGATCTTCAGAGATGTTCCAGAACTGAGCAGAATAAGATCAGGCAAGTACAACACCCAGCCCGTGGACTGCATATGGTCTACCAGAAAATATGCTTGACCTGTTGAGTCAGTGCAAGAAGGACCTGACAGCCAGGCTGAGCTGCAGCCTGCTCTTAGTCACCATTTAAGGACTAGTGGAAGGTGTCCCCATCCATAGCAGGGGGGTTGAAACTAGATGATCTTTAAGGTCCCTTCCAACCCAAACCATTCTATGGCTCTATGACTAACCACCTAACCTAAAATTCACTTTCTGACCTCCGGCCAAAGCAAGCAAGTAGAAAACTGCACTTCTTCCCTCTCATCCTTCAGTTCTGGCTCCCTCTTCTCTGCTTTCTGTGTCCCAGTGTTTCCCTGCTTTGCTCATTCCCCTCCCTCCTAGGCTGCTCTATCCATCAACACCACATGAAAGGCACAGGATTGTTCTTACCAAAAAGTAGAGAAGTGATGCCAGATTTCCTGCGCTGAGTCCTGCGTCGCACAATCTGAGGGAGAGGGAAGGGAGAGAACAAAATGCACACATTAGGACAGATTTCAGAAATAAAATAAAGCATTCCTCCACACAGGCCAGCTCTGGGCAAGGGGTCCTGACAGCTACCACTGGAAGGGGCAGGCAAGTCAACTGGCAATTTTAGACAGGAGTTGTTCTAGTTCTAATGCAATGAATCAGCTCTACTGCTTGATCTGCTGCATGTGCAACAGGTTATTTATAGCTCAATTATTACGAAAGCATAATTGAAGTTCAAGAATCAACCATGATTCAAGTGAACAATTTTTGTTTTAATTCTACTTGTTGCCAAAAGCAGTTCTACACGTAATTATATATCAATTTCTAAGTGAATGCCTATTAAATTTTAGAATTGTAGGAGTGTCTTGTGATTAGCACACAAACGAGCATCAAGAATAAATCTTCCACAGAGGCTTCACAAACAGGAGCTCCTACATCTGCAACTGCAGACTGTAGTCCAAGATTAAACACAGGTGCACGTTTTATTCAGCTCCTCAAAGGCTGCTGCTGTTTTATGACTTTATCTTCCAGAGTTATGTTAGTGTATCAGTTTCTTACTAATGGATTAACTCCAGTTCCTACTCTGCAAATTCTGCCAAAAGCATCTGTTGTTTCTTTTAGTTCCCATTAATGAAATGCACTTTCCATCATAACTCTCATTAATGATAATTACAATCAATGTCAATATCCCTTTCACCTGGGGATTTATCAACCAGGACAGGTCTGGCAGCATTTTATTAGTACAGACCTCCCCCTCACTTCCCAATACACAGTCATCCTGGAGCCAAAATCCTTAGACAGGAGGACCTCTTGCTCACAAAAAGCAATTGGGAGGGAACATGTAAGGGAACTGTAAAAACAGAGCAGCAGAGGCTGGTGGGACTCAGTGCACTCACTTTGGATAAATTGTTGACAGTGGTGCTGGAGTTGAGCAGCTGCCCTTGGTCAGCAATGAGGTAGGCCAAGTGTTTGCGACGCTGGGTCTCCACCGCCACATCTGTCAGAGAGCCAGCCACGCGCATGGCCTCCCGCAGCAGCACATCTGCATCTTCAATCTGACTTGGGATGTCCGAAAGCGTGTTGAAGATGGAGGCAGAGTTCTCGGACTGGATTAGCTCATCCTCCTGCAACGACGCAGTCATTTGCTACACAGAACAGTGAGCATGACAGCTACGCTCTTGGGTTTGCTAGATGCAATTTTACATTCAGTGTTCAGCCTGGGCAGATACAACTAGACAAATCCATAAAAAAATTCCGCAGGAAAAGTCCAAGCTACCTTTGGAAGGGGAACAGCATCTTTTTCTGCTCTACTGCACTGAGACCTCCCCCCAGAATTCTAGCTGGCATGTTTCTGAATCACAGCATTCATCACTGAAATTAAGTGAAATCTGCAAGGAAATACAAAACCAAAGCTATTCTGTACCCACTGCCAGGACTGGGCACAGCAGGGATCTTGCTGGGGACAAGGGAATGGAAGCTGCTGCTCTGTCTCACACACTACAGAGTGCCTACCATGTCAAACAATGCTCCACCTTCCCCTTACTCCCAGCAGGCTCACCCTTTCCCTTCACACAGCAAGCTAAACTACAAAATTATTTTCCACCTAACAAGGAAAAGATCAGGCTGGCTAAGTGTAAGCCAGCCAAGTAAAATATAATCAAAATGCTCTTGGAGCATTCAACAATGCCATCAAAAGCTTCTCAGATGACCACAACCTCAGCTTGATATCTCTGCTCAAAGATGGTGCAAAATCAAGCGGTATCTTGGTTTAGGTAAGACAAGCCCTCAGGATGGGATCTAGAGTGAATAGAGGGGGACAGCTGATGGGGTTTAATTATGAGGGAGGAAATGAGGTAGGTGGGGTAAACAGCAATCCCTGATTCTTGCATAATGCCTTGGAAGTTTTTCACAGCCTCCAGTACTGAAGAAGGCAGGAAGTCATCTCCCCTAGCACACTCCCAAACCACATACAGAAAGTGTATAGAAAAGCCTTCTTGCCCCTAAAACTCAGAATTAAACACTGAAGCGCTACAAAGGAGGAAGAAGAGGTGGGAATTACCTTCATACTGAGCATGCCCAAAGTGAGCTGGAACAGCACCAGAGAGCCCTCGTAGAAGAAGAGGTCCCAAATACGCAGCAGCAGCTTTATGTGGACAACACTAGCAAAAGAGGTGAGGAACCAGTGCAAGGTGATCAAGGAGAGCTCTGTGAATTGAGACATGGAAAAAAATCACAGCAGAAGTAGTCAGCCAACCAGTGAAGATGTCTTAAGTGCTGTCCTCCCAGCTTAAAGATGACCATGCATTTGCCTCCAGGGCCAGGTTTGCTCCTAGCCCTGCTGCTCTCCCTTTGCAAAACAAGAACAATAATCTTTGTCTGTATGTCACCCTGGCAAGAAAAGCTATGGTTTCTAGGGCACGCTTTTACCGATGTCATGCTCCTGAAGCAGTTTGTCCAAGCGGGGCAAGTACTGCACAATGAGCTGCCGCAGGACACGCTGGTCTGTCTGCACGCCCATCAGGGTGGTGCTGAAGTAGGAGGCAGGAACCAGTTCCTCAATGATAGCGCACATCATCCAGAAGGCATCTTCCTCCTCCAAGAAGAGCAGCAGAGAGGCAGCCACCTAGGATTTTGAAGGAAGAAGAACTGCATGTCCTAAGAGGTGCTTCTTCACATGAAGAGATGGACCAGTGTGTAGGTGTTCAACGTCTTCCTTCCTCTGCAGCAGCTCTCCTGCAGTCTCCCACTGAAGGGATTTCTCCTCAGTGTAATGCCTGTCCCTCCCCAACATATGGACTGAATTCTTCCACATCTTTGGATGCATGGTGCTACTCTGCTCTTCCTTCCCTAGGAAAAACATTCCATGTGGAATGGATTTCCCTTCAGCTCATCCAGAGGCCACAGTGGCTGGCAGCACTGCCTCAAATCACTTGCCCCAGCATAGCCACCCCAGACCAAATGATCCCTATCATAAAGACACCCTGAAAGCAGGTTACCATGCCAGTGCCTTGGCAATATCCAATCTCTGGGTAGAGCCAGGCAAGTCCTCGTAGTATCCTGCGTAGCCGTGGCACCCCGATACTGTTCATGTTGGAGAAGCAGGCGTTGCTAGGCATCGTGCGGAGCAAGTCTTTTTCAATCTGCCAGACAGCCATAAACAAGGACAAGGTCAGCTAGCAGCATCTGAACAACTTCCTTCTGCTCTCTGCCTTGGCACCTTGCCTCAGGGAACTCTGCTTCCCCACCCCCATCCATAAGTCCTTAGGCACCAAAGATGGCCCTGTCCAAGCACCTGGGGTCAGTTGACAGCCTTCACTGACACGTGGGAAAATGCCAGTGCAGACAGTGACTTGGTGTCTCCCAATAAATACTTGCCTCAACTCAGCCCCTAGCTTCACCACTGAGAACAGCAGGCACACTGGTAGGGAATTTCATCTGCTTGGATTTTAAGCAAGGCTTCCCAACAAACGTATTATAAAGAGAAACCAACAACCTACCATTCTGAACCTAGCTTCTTGGTGAGAGGTGAACATGTGCAGAGCCCAGTTTCTTTTGCCATGGCCTTTGCCTCCTCCCACAAAAGGAGAGGTCAGAGGAAGAGGGAAAACACTCTGTAACAGTCTTGTCAGTGTTCAGAGACTTTGTGTTCAGGGGAACAAAGACAGTCCCTGGAAGCAGCTGCTACTACCTCAACAGAGTTGCATCTGTCAGCCTTTCATCCTGCACCTCCCTCAATGAATATCAGGATGTTTGCTGAGATGCAACTGCAGCACTGTTTTCTAGCCTGCAGGTAACATGGGTCGAACCCCTTTCCTGCTGTCCTAGGAAGGAGGGGAGCTGCACAGTTCCTATTCCAACACAACAAAGGAGAAAGATGGCCAACAGGATTAAACTTTGTCAGGATTCAACCACACTTGTCCTCTCAACTGTTCTTGCTGCAGATGTTAGGAAGACACCCCTACCTCCTCAGTCAGCAAATCTAGCCCTTCTTCCCAATCCCCTGTGCCTAGTTGGCACTAGGCAGTATCTCCTACCTGTTTGGCAGCAATGGTTTCATCGTTAGAGCTGTTTTTCACAATATCCCGATATGACATCTCTGAATTCCTCTTCTTCTGCAAGGCCCCTGACAGGCGCATCCACAGCTGGGGAGACAGGGTGAACAGAAATATAAAAGTCAACAAGAGAGACACAGAAAACCACTATCTAGCACCCTCTCAACCAAGAGAAAGTGGTCTTGCTCTGTTGTCTCTTACCCCAGGCAGGAGAGCCTGCCCAGAGCAGGCAGCACTCTCACCTGTGGCCTCATGCTGTGTGGGATGCCGGCTAGCACCAGGGAGCGCAGCTTGTCTGAATGCGGTAGGGTGACCTCAATTTTGTCCCAGGTGAGGTCGCCCACGTCATGGTTGTGTGTGAATTCCAGATGAGCCTGCCACTTGAGCCTCTGCTGTGGCTCCTCTGTTAGTGGGACCCCCAGAAGCTTGCTGGAGTTTGGTTCAGCACCATCTGCCTCGGCAAAGGGAAGGGAAAGAAATAGGGACAAGTGAGAGGGGGAAAAGGAGAGGGGATGAACACAGAATGGGATAGGAAGGAGGATGGCCATCTGAAGAAAGCACATTTAAAACATTCATATATTCCAGCCAGAGCATGGAAAGGCAAAGCTTGCTTTCTAACTGTCTTCTCCACACAGTAAATTTTATGGTCAGAAGCAAAAGGCACTGGGGCCTTGAGAACTAAAAAGCTGTCAGCAGGCTTCTAGTCTCTACTTACTGATTTAGAGCAGAGTGTGGCTGGAATTAAACAAGACCCCGGCAGCACTCATCCTGTTGGGTTTTGTAAGGATCTGTAAATCAGGCTGACAAAAGCACAGACAGCCTCAGAGGTGGCAAGCAGAAGCTATATGCTCATACAAGTAATGAGGTGCAAAATGTTAACTTTGGGGATATTTAATCATCATGAAGAAACTTTAATAGGGACACTTCCAAATTCACAATGAGAGCACACCTTAACCTAAGGCTGGCTTTCTAAAATAGATACTTTAGCACAAGTACAGGTTTGACATAAGGCACTCTGTCCTTCATCATATAACACATCCCAAAAATGCAGTCCAAATCTTTCTGCTGATTTTATAATGCACAAATCTACAGAATGTTCTGGCTGAAGAAAATTGCTGTGCCCTGTCTGTATCTCCAGGTCACTGCTTCAAAGTAGATCCTCTATGACTGAAGGTGCCTCAGGGCACACATGGAAACAACTTCTGCCCTTGCGCTGTATGGCCCGAGCCCTGGAAATGTCCTCTCAGAACACATAAAGCAATTCCTACATCCCCCACTCCTTTCTCTTCCTCTTTGCAAAGGCAGCCAGCTGTTGTAGTTCAATGCCCAGCTGCAATAGCACTCCACACCTCCTATTTGGTCTCCTGCTTCTATACCTTGCAGAAAAAATAGGATGTAGGTTCTGCCCCTACAGTTTGCCCTACACTTTGCCAAGCTGCTAGGCTGGGCAGAACATATACTGCTGCCACTCATCTTGGCTGCAAGTTTTTCAAAAGACAGCATGTGTCATTGTGCTTGCTATTGGTACTTACAGTGCTGCTGACCACGACAGAGACCTCACTGTCAACTGGGAAAGTTGCCCTTCCCCAGCATGCAGCTGCTAGTGGGAATGACTCACCTACGACACAAGCATAAGGGGATGGAAATGACTCTGCTGCATATTCTATGCTCCAGACTCCCATAAGGCCAGCATGTCTAATGCACAGCCCTCGAGTTGATGGATGGGTAGATGAGACCTAGCACAGAATGGTTGTAAAATCACCCAGAAGCACAGGAGGGGCTGGACCCAGACACAACGGAAGGGTTAGGGATGGGACTGACTTTACCTTCCTTATCAACTCGGAAACCAAATTCATCATAGTGGAACTCTGGCTGCTCAATGGATTCTTCTTTCTGGGGAACGTGAGGAAGGAGAACAGACACTATCACCAGTTTTGAACAACTGAGTAGAGACACATGGATATTGCCCCATCCCACCACTGCCCGCACCATGCCCTCTGAGCAACCAGACTCCATACCCTTTTATTTTTTATGCCTCCCACCACAATTCCCAGCTGGGGAGGTGTTACATGCAATTCCCATTTAGACTTTTCCATGGAAGTTGTGAAGCCCTGCCTTCCCACCTGCACAAATTTTCACAAAAATCCCTCTTCCAGCAGGGCTTCAGAGTGCAGCATCATATCAAGATCCAAACTTCCCACCTGGAGGGGCATGCAGCCCTCCTTGTGGACTGAGGAATCCACACACATCAGCTAAAGTGTTCTCTACTGTCTGCATCTCTAATACACAGCAGACCTCTGCTATCTCTGCACACACACTGCAAATTCAGCTCCCTACGTTGCTCCATCTCCTGCCTATTGCTTTCAGATTTTCTCTGAAAGACAGCATGCAAAACTGGGATTTGCATCCATGAAGCAAGCCCAAACTACAGGCCAAAGGAAATTAACAGCCATGACCTAAATCTCAACTTTCCTCATCTGTGCTCATGGTTGGCATTGGGGAATACACACTGGAGGTTACAATCAGGCTTTTTAAAGGAGTGAAAACCTACAGTTACCTCCCCTTTCCCGCAGCCTACCTGCCCCTACTGTGGGGTCTCTTGCAAGCATTGCACCCAGGCAGCACACAAGAAGCATGCCTCTAGCACAGCTCCACAGCGAGCTTTTATCTGCTTCACTGGGCTCGACTGCCTTCAGCAAACACTGCGGGGAAGTTGCGAAATTCCATGGCTGCCTCCTTCCTTCCTGCTCTGCCCACCTGGTGGCAAGTCTTGAGGCTAGCATTTCCTGCCATGCACAAGCCATCCAGAGTAGCTTGATGGTGACAGAGACTCCCTGAGGGTGTCAAAATTTTTACAGTGGAGCAACAGTTGCAAAACAGCAGAGAAATAATTCACACAAGTTTCTTTTGTGCTCTGCAAGATCCTCTTGCAAGAGCCAGGATGCAGCTGCAAAACACATGAAGTAGCAAACGAGCATCCACAACCAAACCACCGGAGGAAAAGCACCTCTCCCTCCCTTTCTCTGTGGCTTTCAGAGACCACCAGAAATCACCAGGGTCCCTTGACTTCTGTGCAGAGCAAGAGAACACCCCCTCCCTGCCCCACACCGTACCTGTGTGTATTTTGCCAGGATCTCCTGAGGCCAAATGCTGGGAGTGAGTGCTGAGAAGGGACCCCCAGCAGAGGGAGTGTGATGGCCTAAATGGAAAGAGATCAACATATAGCAGCAAAAACCTGGAAGGACTCCCTTGGAAGACACACATTTACACAGACTGTTACAGCAAGAGAATGACTCACTCAAGAGTTTGGCACTACTGCCACTCTAGACATTCAGACAGCTCCCACTTCACCGAGGAAGCCAGTAATTTCCCATGGTTTTGTCCCTTGTCATCAGGCAAAAGAAGCAGAAAGGCAAAATGGAGTTCCCACTAAGAAACTTTTCGGGAAGAGAAATAGTTCCATGGCATCATGTGATCGATCTGCTTGGAAAAGCTGTGTGGTCACTGCCAAGCTAAAAAAATTATGGAGAAGTAAACACCTCTGAAGAGGGCACTGACGCCAGCACCAGCAGCACTACAGAGTTCCCTGAAACTTTGTCACCCAGGCACCAAAATAGGAAATCAGAGCCCTCAGCAAGATGGTCAGCTGCTCCCTTTGCTCCAGAAGGGCTGGGATATTGCCAGACCATGTATAGAGAGCTGCAGCAATGAAAGGATGCCTATCATCTCAGTCTTTTGTGTTCGAGATAAGCACCTTTCCAGTCTCAGGTAGTGTCCCACTGAACAGCTTCCCTTTGAATTAAAGTTTACATCAAGTTTTGCAATTGAAGCAGATAAGCATGTCCCAGGTCTTCCACTGTGCACATCACCAAGAAAAAAACATTTACTTGGCTTTGAAGTATAGTCTCTCTCAGGGTTACATGCCCTGAAATACCCAGCTGAACGAGGAAGGAAGGTTTAGACAAAAATATGGGGTGAGAGAGTGGGCACTGTAAGAAGGAGGAGACCTAGTTTTAGTAAAGCTTATATCTCACTACTCCACAGTTGAACTCCAGTAACTCTTCAGCTTTCTGCCTGCCCTAGAGCTACCATTGCACAGCAAAAATCTCTCAGATCATAAAGTGAACCACCCACTTTGGGGCAAAACTTGGGAGGAGAACAGAACCAAACAAATCTTATGGAAAACAGGGAAGGCAGACTACATTTCAACCTCATCCTTCCTCTGTGTTCAATGGATGAAGCAGCTTCTGCAAGCTTCAGTATAGGGTAAAAGAAGGAACCGAGTTCACCCTGAATTAAAACGCAGCTGGGTCACAAAGAGTGGGGTGGTTTCCTCTTCCCCAATTTGACTGTTTGTATACATACAGTATATTAATGTAAAGAATGGCTCTTGAAAACAGTAACTTTCTTTTAGGAAACTGCAGCTGAAGAAAGAACAGGAAATCAAAGAAGAAGATACTGTGTCCATGTTTGTCTGCTCACCTGACATTGTATTAGGTTAAGGCCCAATAGGAGAGGCTGTCAGCAGGTCCAGAAATGATGTTCTCAGAGGTAAGAGGTCACTACTCTGTCATAAAAAGGGAAAAAAAAATGGTGGTGAGAGAATTGAACTAGTATCTAAGGACATGGCGGGGGACAGACAGACCACTCACACACAACTTCCCCACAGGAAAATTAAATTCCAGAGACTGGGATTTCCTCTCAGTTTCATACCTACCCATTAGCTAGAAAGCACAATATCATTTACCAAATTTCTTGTGACAGTAACAGCATTTCTGACTGAAATTCTGAAAGAATGTCTGTCAAAAACCAAGTCAATTTTCATCACCTTTTCTATCACATATTGTCCGTCCTGTATTTAATTATGAATACTAAAAAAACCACACCATACATCATAATTCTTTGAATACACTGCCCATGGAGAAGAGACTGGGATGGTGAAAAGAGTTTCAGGGGTTATCATTAGATGCAATAAGCCTGAAAGAAATATTAGGAGTAGCATCACAAAACACAGGACCAAAGTATATTTAGGCTGTGTAATACAGCTCCCTGAAGGGAGCTGGAAAAGCTTCTGACAAGGATTTTCTGTGATGAACCGGGCTAGGATGTGGACAACATGCTACTGAGTACCTCTGCATGAGCCAGGATCCTCTAAACTAAATCAGGCGACAGAGCTTAGATGACGAAACAGCCCATGTAACTCCCCTCCTCACTTTCCTGGTACCAGTTCACAGCAGATTTTTATAGGGGTTTTCCAAGACAACAATGGAATAGTTCAGTAATCAAAGAGAGAGATTCTGAACTTTAAGATTGACCTTGTAATTCTGCGTGTGAGACAGCAAGAGCCACCTCTACCAAGCAGACAAAGCCAGTGCTGGGATGTATCAGTCACTTGGGAAAGAACCTGGGAGAAACTAACATTTGCACATCTGGGATGGGTTTTCCAGCTTCACCTTCCCAGTAAAGCTACTTCTGACTTGCAAACCACTAAAAGAAGGAACCCCAGGGATTCATCCAGCAGGTCCCGAGTTGTTTGTAGTGCTCAGGAGTACCAGGTTATATTGCCACTCCTGCCTTTGCATCTCCGTGAACATTTCAGCAAGCACTCACAGCCTGGAAGTGGCTTGCTACAGCACTCCAAGATAAGCAGCCGTGAAACATGGCAAAAGTATAAAAAGCACCTTGGTCAGAGAAAACAAATGATAAGGCTTCTTCCTCCCAAATGTAAACAGTTCTCAGCATGAGAAAGACTGGCATGCATGAACAGACACCCTGATCTTCTGACACCAACTCTCAGGAAAAAAGAAAAAAAACCGAAACAAACAAGAAAAAGTTCAGCTGTTGTTTCTGAGAAGTAACGTTGTCCACACAATGGCCAGCTCTGCAAATGCTCTTTTACCCTTCCCATCTAGCCCCAATTGTTCCTTAGCACCACCTTTTCTCTCAGTAGCTGAAGACATAACAAAAATTACAAAATGAGCACCTGCACACTCATTTTACATGGTGCATGGGAATGCACACAGCACGCACACCAACCTGGTAAATCTGCTGACAACACTTATTCCCCTTTCAACATCACTGTGAATGTATTTTGATTATTTTTTTCCAGGCTTATCACTGCCCTGCAACCACAGCTGCTCTGTTCCTGAGCCTGCAACATGTCGTCCTCCCCTGTCTTCTCTCAACCCAGTTAACCCTCTATCCAATGACTTCTGTTAGAATGCAGTCACTGTTTCGGCCACGTGGTACTTCTGCCATGCTTCTCCTTACCTGTGCTCTGAATCCACGCCCAGTGCCTCAGGCATGTGAGCAAGGATCCCCCTCAGCCACCCTTAACCTTCACCGCATGCACAATCGCTGCTGACCGGAGGCACCGGGCCAGCATGTGAGGCAGGCAGATGAGGAAATGCTCCGTAACAAGGTAACTAACCACGCTCCTTGGGAAGCAGGGCAGGAGAGTGCCAAGGCTGAAAGTCCCTCCTCAGCCCAGGACAGGTGTAGCAGAGGGGAACATCTTCCCTTGTCCACGTCATCACATGCTGGTCTCCGCCTTGCTGGAGATCACTCCCCTGCTGCTGCCTGCCCTCCCTGCCCTACCATTACAGCACTGAACCTGGTGGGCAGGTTTTTCCTGCCTCTGGTTCCTATAGAAACCTTCCTGCAAGCACCCATCTGGGACAGGGCCCAGAGAGGCGAGCGAAACACTCACCTTGCTGCTGGCACCCGGGTGTGCGGAAGGGCAGAGTGGGGAGCGTGAATCACACCAAGAGAAGGCTCCTGCTGTGGTACCAGGAGGCGGTGAGCCGGGGACTGCCCACAGAGCCAGCTGCCTCCAAGAGAACGTGCAGAGGCCACT